GTACTCTGGTGTATAACAAGACGACTACTTCACTCAGCTACCCCAGTACAACCACGTGTACTCCACTCAGCTACCCCGATACAACCACGTGTACTCTGATGTAACAAGCAGACTACTCTACTCAGCTACCCCGATACAACCACGTGTACTCTGGTGGAACTAGCCGACTACTCCACTCAGCTACACCCCTCCTGGGTGTCGTCGTGGAAAGGATCACGAAATAAATACAAAATACCCAGCTGTAGTCCCGTTGCTTTATTCAAATCCCCATAGCAGCGTTGTCCATTGCAAGGCCCACGGTGGCCTTTCGTGAAAACTCCCCCCATGATCATCACCATCACCATCGTTGTCGTCGTGGTGCTGCTGTCAAACCCCACGACGGCTTCAAATGGTGCGGCGGTCCTCACACTGACGATGTCTAAGAGCCCCCCCCCCCCGTTAAGGCTAAACGAGCGCTGGCCCCCCACAAGGGGACGGAGGCGGCGTGGCGCTGTCCCGCACTGTGTCGCCCCTCTCCTGCCCCCCCCTCTCTCCTGCCCCCCTCTCCCGCCTCCTCCGCTCGTTGTTTCGTAATCCGAAAACACGCGCACGTTTCGCATTTTCAGATATTTAATCAGATTCCACGAAGAGTCGCGGCTTTCATTGTACAATGTGCAGCACCCCCCTCTGTTGTGTCGTGTTTATTTAGTCGCTGCTGTTGCCACGAGCGATAAGTGTCCAAGTGCACCCCGGGACAATGACGCTGTCCTCCGCAACGCTACGACAGCCCCCATCAACAGTCTCGGGTTAAAAGTTGCACGCAACTGAAGCAAGTGCAGGGGAGTGCCTGTGCAGTGATGCAGATGCATTCCGACTGATGCAAGCAAGAGGGGGGAGGAATGTGGGGGAATGCACACACACACACCAACACACATACACACACACCAACACACATATACACACACACACTAACACACACCAACACACATATACCCACACACACACATACACACATATACCCACACACACACATACACACATATACCCACACATACACACACACACGTGCAGCGTGTACACACATCGATACACATGTACCCACATACACACACCGACACACATATACACACATATACACACACACACACATATACCCACACACACATATACCCACACACCCATATACCCACACACACACACCGACACATCATATATATACACACACACACCAACACACATATACACACACATACACACACGTGCAGCGTGTACACACACCGATACACATGTACCCACATACACACACCGACACACATATACCCACACACACACACCGACACACATATACCCACACACACACACCGATACACATGTACCCACATACACACACCGACACACACATACACACCATTAAACATATAAACCCACAAAGACAAATATCCCCCGTTTAGCCTTAACAGAATGTTGGGGCAAGTGCTTTTAGCGAGCGCATATGAAGGCCGGAACGGTACACAAGGGGGTGGGAGGCCCACGCCCGGCCGCCTTTGTCTCTCCAATGGCGATGTTTACACATCGCACCAGGTACTCATTTGAGGCTGAGTCGACCTAGGGGAGGCCCAGGACCGGTTCAGATATCCACCACTGTTATTAGTCTTGAGCGGGGATCAAACTCCGGTCGGACGGTGCGCAGTGAAGTGCGCTAGCCACCACATTACCGCCCCCCACAAACAGCCACGCACGAAGGCACACCGTGATGTGCACACTCGCACGCACACGCACGACACACACAGACAACACACTCACAACACACACAGAGACGACACACACAGAGACGACACACACAAAGACAACACAGAGACAACACACAAAGACAACACAGACAACACACACAGAGACAACACAGAGACAACACACACAGAGACAACACACACAGAGACAACACACACAGAGACAACACACACAGAGACAACACACACAGAAACAACACACACAGAGACAACACACACAACACACAGAGACAACACATACAGAGACAACACACACAGAGACAACACACACACCACACACACAGAGACAACACACAGAGACAACACACAGAGACAACACACACACAACACACACACAACACACACACACAGAGACAACACACACACAACACACACACAACACACACAGACAACACACAGAGACAACACACACAACACACACACAGACAACACACTCACTACACACACACAGAGACAACACACAGAGACAACACACTCACTACACACACAGACAACACACACAGAGACAACACACACAGAGACAACACACTCACAACACACACAGAGACAACACACAAAGACAACACACACAACACACACAGACAACACACACACGACACACACACAGACAACACACACACGACACACACACAGACAACACACAGAGACAACACACACACAGAGACAACACACACACAACACACACACAGACAACATACACACAACACACACAGAGACAACACACTCACTACACACACAGAGACAACACACACAGACAACACACTCACTACACACACAGAGACAACACACACAGAGACAACACACTCACTACACACACAAAGACAACACACACAGAGACAACACATACAGAGACAACACAGACAACACACTCACTACACACACAGAGACAACACACTCACTACACATAGAAAGACAACACACACACAACACACACACAGACAACACACACACACAACACACACACAGAGACAACACATGCGCAGGCACGGAATTTTCTGTCACACCAACCGCTCCGTTTGTCTGCGGCATGCGCCTCTGACACGCTTTGTCCTGAGCTCCTCCACAACTGGGAACGCCGTTTAAATCTTCCCCCCGAGTTGTTGTTCCACGAGTGAAAAGGCCTCTCCCGTTCTCAGAGAAGATTTACACAGCCGGGCGCTCTCGCTGTGTGTCCCGCTGTGTCTGTATCTCTCTCTCTCTCTCGGTGTCTCTCTCGGTGTCTCTGTGTGTGTGTCCCTCTCTCTCGGTGTCTCTGTGTCTGTGTGTGTCCCTCTCTCTCGGTGTCTCTCTCGGTGTCTCTGTGTGTGTCCCTCTCTCGGTGTCTCTCTCGGTGTCTCTGTGTGTGTCCCTCTCTCTCGGTGTCTCTCTCGGTGTCTCTGTGTCTGTGTGTGTCCCTCTCTCTCGGTGCCTCTCTCGGTGTCTCTGTGTGTGTCCCTCTCTCGGTGTCTCTCTCGGTGTCTCTGTGTCTGCGTGTGTCCCTCTCTTGGTGTCTCTGTGTCTGTGTGTTTCACTCTCTCGGTGTCTCTCTCGGTGTCTCTGTGTCTGTGTATGTCTCTCTCTCGGTGTCTCTGTGTCTGTGTGTGTCCCTCTCTCTAAGTGTCTCTCTCGGTGTCTCTGTGTCTGTGTGTGTCCCTCTCTCTCGGTGTCTCTCTCGGTGTCTCTGTGTCTGTGTGTGTCCCTCTCTTGGTGTCTCTGTGTCTGTGTGTGTCCCTCTCTCGGTGTCTCTCTCGGTGTCTCTGTGTCTGTGTGTGTCTCTCTCTCGGTGTCTCTGTGTCTGTGTGTGTCCCTCTCTCTAAGTGTCTCTCTCGGTGTCTCTGTGTCTGTGTGTGTCCCTCTCTCTCGGTGTCTCTCTCGGTGTCTCTGTGTCTGTGTGTGTCCCTCTCTCTCGGTGTCTCTCTCGGTGTCTCTATGTCTGTGTGTGTCCCTCTCTCGGTGTCGCTCTCTCGATGTCCCTCTCTCGATGTCCCTCTCGGTGTGTCTCTCAGCATGCCTGTGTGTGTCACTCTCTCTCTCGGTGTCTCTGTGTGTGTGTCTGTGTGTGTCTCTCTCCGAGTCTGTGTGTGTGTCTCTCTCTCTTGGAGTGTCTCTCAGTGTCTGTGTGTGTCTCTCTTTGAGTTTGTGTATGTGTCTCTCTTGTCTGTGTGTGTCTCTCTCTCAGTGTGTCTCTCGGTGTCTGTGTGTGTCTCTCTCTGAGTCTGTGTATGTGTCTCTCTTGTCTGTGTGTGTGTCTCTCTCTCAGTGTGTCTCTCGGCGTCTGTGTGTGTCTCTCTCTGAGTCTGTGTATGTGTCTCTCTCTTCTGTGTGTGTCTCTCTCTCAGTGTGTCTCTCGGTGCCTGTGTGTGTGTCTCGGTATCTCTGTATGTGTCTCAGGTCTCTCTGTGTGTGTGTCTCTCTCTCTGTGTGTGTCTCTCGGTGTCTCTGTGCGCGTGCCTCTCTCCCATCTCAAGAATGCTGCAGGAATTCCGTAACCCTCAGTTATCGCAAAATAAGCGACCTTGTTTATTGACAGTGTTTGACGTATGACCGATTGCACACTCGACTTGTTCCTCTTATTGCGTGCCTCTAAAATTAACGAGCCCAGGTTGTTCTTATGAATGGTGCCGTTGTAAAAAAATGATCACAATGCAATGCACAGGGTACAGATGTACACAGAGCGTTTGCTTCATGGGCGTGTACCGCGTGCTTGCCCTGTTATTCATTGTCGCGTGAGTGGCTTACGGAGTTGCCGAGCAGTGGAGATGGAGCGATAAGGCGATGCGAAGGCAGCAGATAAGAGCGTTCATCGCGTTTTTTTGTTGGTCGGCTAATTGTTGGGTGAAGGATTTATCATTTTATCATTTGTTGCATTTTTTTCTCGACTGGGCGTTTGTTCATCAAGGTTGTTGCCACTGCTTACATTCAAACGCATAGCCTGCTTCTTCACGTGCACTGCAAATCACGACCGTATATAAACGTATAATGATTTTTTTAAAATGTACAGCCCATTGTCAATTTTGCGGTGGCTAGGAGATGTTAACTACCTCGCCTGGTATGCAGGAGGTCGTGGGTTCGATCCCAACCCTGACGCCTGCTGCTGTATATTAGGAATTTGCATCTCTCTCTCTCCCCGTGGTCGTGTGGATTTTTCTCCGGTTTTCATACCCGTACGTACGTGTGTACGTTGAACTTGTTTCGCACCGTACGTAGCCAACCGTGCTCATCGGAGGTGCGGAGGGGAAAGGAGGAGCGTCTTACCGAAGAGTCGAGGGCGAACTGCAGACCCCCGTGCTCAAACAGCACGAAGAAACGCCTCTGCCACTTCTAGGGAGACACACGGAGACCCCGCACACAGCACGAGCGTGCGCATCCCATTACCGCCGCACTTCTGCCAATCACTCGGTCAACATCAACTACGCAAGAAAAACTCCGTTTTACGTCTTCACGTATAAATTCACGCCACGTAGATATATCTTAGTCCACCGGCCTATTGGCATTCCAGAGGAATATTAACCCGCAGCCATTGTTTTACCAAACAAAAATTATATCTGGAATGGTTGTTTGACCTTCTCATCGGCAGACTTGTTAGAACGTCGAAGGCACCGATTCTCACGTGGCTACGTGCACACGCTGAAACGCGGGGAACCAGGCGATTATTCAGGGTGTTTCATAATCGCAATAAAAATGTCAAAAATAAAACTGTCAATCACAACCAATAGCAAGGGATAGGTTACGCCATCTCCCCACCACCCACGTTATGAGGCTGATGCCACTCCTCCACATCGAACACGAGCACTGAATGAAGTGGGCATGGCAATGTCCGAATTTTATCCCACAATGAAAGCAAACTCAGAAAGATCGAGGCGGAACAATTCCCTCCCCCGGTGATCCAGTGACTCGTCGCTATTCAGGTTCGAAACTCGCTTGCATCATCCAGTTTTTATTTATTTTAAGTTGTGAACGTAGCGGCCACTAGTGGCGGTCACACCGCACACATATACGAATCGGAATGCGCCGTTTGGAGAGCTAAAGAACCCGCCTTAAATCGAGGCATCACCTCGTCGCTATCCCCCTTCTCTCTGTCGAGTGTACCTCGCTCGCTCTCCTACCAAGGTGTACAGAGGCAGCGGTAGAGTCAAGGAAACTGCTCCAGATTTTCATTTCCATTCCCCCCCGCGGGGGAAACATCCCACGACCTCCGGATTGCTCGTGCCCAGCGTACTGCTGCCACCTGCACCCAGGGTTAACTCAATTGGTGAACCACACTCAGCTCTGGGAACCTGGGCCCAGACCATTTTTGCCGGTCGGGACAGCAGGCCGGCTCACCGTTGGGCAGTATGTGGGAATGGCGCATCAGGTGCACGTATGTGCACGTATGTGTACGTATGCCTATGTGCACGTACGTATGTGTACGTATGTGTACGTATGCCTACGTGCGTATATTGAACTTGTGGCCTAAGAGTGCACATAGCCTGGCACAGGCGCCGTGGTGACGTCACCGCCACTTAGTGGCGAATGGCGCTTGTTGTTGAATTTCTTTGGTTCCGTACGTAGCCGACCGTGCTAAGTCGGAGGTGCGGGGGAAGGACAACAAACTGAGCACAAACAAGGCAGAAGGATGTGTACCTGTGATGTGGTATCACAGGCACACATCCTTCAAATTCCACACTCCACCACCGCCGCCCACACCCCCTCCCCCTCCCCCCGTCCGTCTTCATCGAGAAGCTTGCTTGCCCGGAACACGTCTGCTTGCACGTTGCAATAATTACTCCTATCTAATGGCTATTCAGGACAGACAAAATGCTTTAAATGCTACAGCCAGGCCCACACATACCACAGGATCACCGCTTCAAGCGGCACGTGGATTTAGTAAAACGATCCGGCGCAGGGTTTTTATTTCCCCCTTAAACGGCCATGCCAGGTGGCATCAACTGACGTTTGGACTCTGAAAAACGTTCCATAAAATTTTGCGCACAATCAACGGTGTCCTGTTTATGTTCATCTCTAAGGTAAATGCGTTGTTGTTGTTGTTCTTCTTCTTTTCATTTTATGGTCACGCACGGCCTTTAGTCACAATCCACTGCTGGATAAGGGGTCCGGCCCCACGCCGCGTCAGCGTTTGTGCGACCATACTTCGCCACGCCGGTCAATGCGTTGTGCCCATGGAGGGGAACACAAAGGCCGGTGCAGCTTTCACCCGGCACTGCTTGTCGGCCGTGGCTGGGAATCAAATCCAAGTCTCTGGTTTCACAGCGCAGCACTCAAACCACTGCGCCACCTCTCGCCTTAATCTGAAGTAATAAGAATGGCTAGTGTAATTCGTGTAAATTTTTAACATAAAATCATACCGGCGAACCCATGAAGTAACGAGTACAAACGTCGTGGGAATTTTATTTTCTTATGTTTTGTTTTTATTATTTTATTTCCATTCTACGTGACTTTACCGAAAGAACCAAGAAGATGAGTAGAATTGTGTATTTTTTTTATTCGTTTTTAAATAACACCAGAGTCAAATGCATCCCTTGTCCGAAAAAAAATTCACACTTTTCATGACGTTTACGTGAATGAAAAGGCCAGTTTGCAGCGCAAACTCTACATTTACGTCAGTGGCTGTCAACGCATTTTAAATACTGTACGCACCGTGTGAGGGGCAGTGTGGCAGATCGCTCAACAGGGCTTGAGATTGTAGCCAGTGAGTTGCAGTTCTCAATGAAGCATTTCTCCAGGACGACTGGAGAAACTTTATGGAGCAACGTAAGTTAATTATTTACCGTCACCACAAACGGCCAGAGAAACTTTCAAACGCTTCATTATAATTCCCTGGCAACTTGCTCGCGTTTCTGGCGAATGGTGTTGCAACAACTTGCGCGGTGCGGTTAGTGGGACGGGGCTAGGCACGCCAAAAGGTTTTTGGAGGCCCAGGGAGGAAAAAAAATACCTGAGAAGGCCCCCATTGAGGCCTCCTCGGCCCTTTGCTGGCCTCTTCTGAGGCCCATTCGGCCCTTTCTAAGGCCCCTCCTAAGGGCTACTCTTGGCCTATTGTGAGGCGGCAAACTGCGCCATCTGCCTGCCACCCAACCCTTCTCAGTGGTCCCGGGGCGGGGGGGCCGAGGCCTTTAGCTGGCCGTGTTGTGTCCGCGTACCCGTGATCGATGTCCGGCATTCTCAAAGTTCGTCCCCTCCGGAGCCAGGCACAGCCACCCTCCGTACACCGGCCTCGCCTGGAGAGACGAGAACATCGACGCGTTACAGCGACGCAAGCAAGCGGGCGCGAGACGACGCCCGGGGCAACACCGCGCCGCAGCAACGGCGACATCGGTGCCGGTAAACTGCGTGACGTGACCGCACATGTCGATGTGAGCGTTCGCCTTTTGTGGATTAAATCAATACATGCATCGCTCGGGAGTTTGTCAATCCGCTGCAGGCGTAGGCCTCCCTCTGCCGTGTTGGCCATGAGGGTTGTTTGATCACACTTCACCATCTGAGTTAGTGCGGGTTGGGTTTGGGTGTCCAGGTCACCATTGAGATACTACTGCGGCCACGGTGGTGAGATGTTAACTACTTCGCTTGGTGTGCATGAGGTCATGGGTTGGACCCCGACTCAGCCTCAAATGAGTACCCGGTGCGGTGTGTAGTAAACCTCGCCACCAGGGAGACAAAGGCGGTCGGGCGTGGTGCTGGCCACCCACCCCCTCGTGTGCCACAGTGCCGGGCTTCATAGGTGCTGCTACTCGCTAGCAGCACTTGCCCCAACATTCTGTTACAGGCTACACGGGGGATTCATTGTATTTTGTACAGATGTGAACACGTGTGTTTCATGCTCATCGTGACTGAGTGAAGTTGTGTTTTGTACAGATGTGTGAACACGTGTGTTTCATGCTCATCGTGACTGAGTGAAGTTGTGTTTTGTACAGATGTGTGAACACGTGTGTTTCATGCTCATCGTGACTGAGTGAAGTTGTGTTTTGTACAGATGTGTGAACACGTGTGTTTCATGCTCATCGTGACTGAGTGAAGTTGTGTTTTGTACAGATGTGTGAACACGTGTGTTTCATGCTCATCGTGACTGAATGAAGTTGTGTTTTGTACAGATGTGTGAACACGTGTGTTTCATGCTCATCGTGACTGAGTGAAGTTGTGTTTTGCAAGCAAAATAAAGGAGATGCATTGGGGTGCTTTTGTGTGTTTTTTTTTACTAAGCACACACAGATGTCTGGCAAATGGCCCCGTGTGTCCAGACGACGTCTCTACCTGACGGCGGAGGTAACAATATGGGAACTCTTCTCGGGTTCCCATAGTCAACGTCGCTCATTCATTTGTTGTTTATTTCCTGATTGTGTTGTGTGTCACCCCATGCCAGAGGACAACCCGTCGAAGTAGACATCGCACAACTACTACGACGGGGCTCCGTTCACGTGACCTCCTATCCGCACCAGATGGGCAAGCACATTCCCGCACGCCCTGCTAGAGACCATAATGTTTTTAATTCTCAGAGCTCGCACTTGGCCAGATTAAGTGCGAAAGCAAACTTAATAGGATGGCTTTTTTTCAGCAGGAAGCTTCACCAGCAGCTCACTCCACTTGAGAATGGTGAATTCAAACATTTAAAAAATCGTTAAGCGAGCACCAACTCAACTGGTAAGCAACCCAACGCACGGAAACGTGTCCCCAAAAACATGAAAATATATAATAACAAAAACAATAAATATAATAAAAACAATATATAATAACAAAAACAATAAATATAATAAAAACAATAAATATAATAACAATATTCTACGTACTAAAATATTATAATTTTTCGAACATACAGAGACGGTGCATCTGGGTTGCATCCCCAAAGTGGTCCTTAAAAATCAAATAATTTCCACCGATTCTCAGCCCCCCCCCTTCCCTCTCAACCGTGCTCGCAGCACCAGTGACGGACACTCGCCGAAATTAACCCCTTTACTAAGCGACGCTGAGCAAAGCTCCGGGCGGCGGCGGGGGGGAGGTGTGACGGCTATCGATTACAACCCTACGGCACGAATCCACGCGGCTCAACTCGACCAAAACAAATCTTTAAAAAAATCTGAAAAAAGTGAAAATCAGCGCCAATGAGGCGCAAGTCCAACCCGGCTCACGCGTCGCCAGCCACGCGCGCGCCCGCCGCCTCTCAATGAGCAGAGAACCAGAGTGGAAATGCGAGCAGCACCCCACCCCTTCCCTACCGGCCCCTGCCACTAATCCGGTGTGCGGTGCGCCACGTCAAACGGGACAACACAGAGAGCGGGGCGGCAGCGGCGGCGGCGGCGGCGGGGAGAGTTTGGCACGGAGAGCCGCTGGGCGCTTTCCAACTTTGGGTTTGTTTCTCCTGCGCCTGGGGGCGGTCTGTTGGGGGCGGTCTGTTGACAACACGGGGGGCGGGCGGGCGGGGGGGGGGGGTCAGTTCTACCCGTGACCGCTTAATGCAGTAATTGTCTTAATGATGCACACTCGCTCACCTGCTCTAACACGATCTCGCTATTGGCACACGTTTGGCCACGCGCGTGCACCGTGTGAGAACTCCCCAACGTCTTCAATGTCGAAGGCTAAGGTGCAGTGCTGTAAGTGCTCGCTCGTGCCACTGCTGACGGAATGGATCTCCACCTTTCCGCGGTCCAACCCAATTTTTCTTTTTGCATCCACTATGGGTTTCCATTGCTTCAACCGCGGCGCCAGGAGACTGAATCGCACTGCCTGCCTCTGGATTGCAAGTCCAGTGTGCTAAGCATGTCACCAGGGCAGCATCCCAGCGTTTCTCAGTCGTTGCTTCACTGCACTCGGCAACTTGTCCAAATCTCCCTCCGCATGTGCCAGAAGGGTCTTCAGGCTCCAGCCTGGAGTTTGGAAAATCACCTGCACTCAAACGTAGACCTTTCTTTAGGTGCTTACAATCTGCACACGCCTGATGATTGTGAAACGCACAATTTACACACGCCGCAAGAGAGGGGAGCCGATTCGAATTGAGATACGGATCATTGCGAGTGTGTCCGTTGAGAGGACTGATTCACATTAAGATAGAGGTATTGTGCCCGTGTGTGAGTTTGTATACATTGCATGCGTGACGTGCAGAGAGCTCATCAACATTGAGATCTTGTCATGTCAATTTTAATGACTCTATTATGATTACGTTTGTCTACCCAGGAAAGCCTCACTGAGCCTCCAGGCTCTTTTTCAGGAGGGTCATGCTGAGTATAGGCGCCAGGAAATGTTAACTACCTCACCTGGTATACAGGTGGTCGTCGGTTCGATCCTGACCCTGACGCCTGCTGCTGTGTATTTAGAATTTGCATGTTCTCCCCGTAGTCGTGTGGATTGTTCTCCGGGTGCTACACGGGATCCCCCTCCACATTTCGAAAAACGCGTTTCGAGTATTTGGCCGCTATAAATTTCCACGCGATAAACCACTCCGTCGAACTATCATTTGTGGCCAGGTCGCTTCTCAATAAGAGCTATAAAGCTCAGTGGGCCTTGCCGTGTAAAATAAAAATTGTTTAGTTTCGTGTTTTCACAGCACGGGCCGATGTTGCTATGGGATAATCCCAATTGAGGCAATTTGACAGGTACATTTTCAGCATTGGGGTGTATGGCCAACACAAGTTACATTGTGTACGAGTTTTTTTGTTCCAGCGAATAATAAATCGCGACCGTAATCATGATATCATCGTGGCCACCCAAACTTTTCCTCAGAGGAAGTGGAAAAAAAATGTTGATCTCTCACGGATGTTAGTCTCGGCTTGATGACCAAACTAACGCAGTCGTTTGCACTTTATATTTTAATCTCGCTTCGGTGAAGCCACGGCAGCAACCGCCGACGCCACGCCGGTCCCCCACGAGGTCTCCGTAAGTGCCACGGAAATCGATGTTGCACCGGAGCCATTGACGCCGCCACCGCCCCCCCCCCCCTCTCTCTCACCGAGCGTCGACGGCACGCACCGCCACGCCGTGTCGGGATCCGCGAGAGCGAGGCCGGGCGTGCCGGCGCGCGGTTCGAAAACGCTCGCGGGCCCACGTGAGACGGCCGTGGGGACGCTTTGACGAGCGATCCCAAACCACGGCACGGGTGACACCCGCCCGCTCGCCCGCCCGCCCGCCCGCCCGCCCGCAACGCTCTGAAACTCACAGACACGTGAGCGCGCACGCGCGTACATAAACTGCTTACTGCGTGTGTGTGTACTTACAGCGAGGGAAAAAAAGTATTTGATCCCCTGCTGATTTTGTACGTTTGCCCACTGACAAAGAAATGATCAGTCTATAATTTTAATGCTAGGGTTATTTGAACAGTGAGAGACAGAATAACAACAGCAAAATCCAGAAAAACGCATGTCAAAAATGTTATAAATTGATTTGCATTTTAATGAGGGGAATAAGTATTTCATCCCCTCTCAATCAGAAAGATTTCTGGCTCCCAGATGTATTTTATACAGGTAACGAACTGAGATTAGGAGCACACTCTTAAAGGGAGTGCTCCTAATCTCAGCTTGTTACCTGTATAATAGACACCTGTCCACAGAAGCAATCAATCAGATTCCAAACTCTCCACCATGGCCAAGACCAAAGAGCTCTCCAAAGATGTCAGGGACAAGATTGTAGACCTACACAAGGCTGGAATGGGCTACAAGACCATTGCCAAGCAGCTTGGTTAGAGGGTGACAACAGTTGGTGCGATTATTCGCAAATGGAAGAAACACAAAAGAACTGTCAATCTCCCTCGGCCTGGGGCTCCATGCAAGATCTCACCTCGTGGAGTTGCAATGATCATGAGAACGGTGAGGAATCAGCCCAGAACTACACGGGAGGATCTTGTCAATGATCTCAAGGCAGCTGGGACCATAGTCACCAAGAAAGCAATTGGTAACACACTACGCCGTGAAGGACTGAAATCCTGCAGCGCCCGCAAGGTCCCCCTGCTCAAGAAAGCACATATACATGCCCGTCTGAAGTTTGCCAGATTCAGAGGACAACTGGGTGAAAGTGTTGTGGTCAGATGAGACCAAAATGGAGCTTTTGGCATCAACTCAACTTGCCGTGTTTGGAGGAGGAATGCTGCCTATGACCCCAAGAACACCATCCCCACCGTCAAACACGGAGGTGGAAACAATAGCTTTGGGGGTGTTTTTCTGCCAAGGGGACAGGACAACTACACCGCATCAAAGAGACGATAGACGGGGCCATGTACCGTCAAATCTTGGGTGAGAAC